GTTGTGCATTCAAGCCCTGCTTCGCTGTAATTTTGATGATGACCGGAAAAGGAATGGAGAGATTTTAAAAATGACCGTGGTCTCACGACAAAACTTTCTGAAAATGTTCTCTGTTTCATGTAGTTTTATTTGATATCTTACTGTTATAAGCGTAAAAATAAGGGCTCATACAGTTTACCAGGTTATAAAATGCATGACTTGCCTCTATTTTCATGTAAACATTCGAAATGTTTCGACAGCAAAGTAGCAACTGTTTCAGATCGAATGCAAACGGACATCACACCAGGGACAATGGCAGGACACTGAAATACAACGTCACTGAAAAACTCTGTATGATTAATTTAGATCATTGTCCATTTTCAACATAACAGTAATTTATTTTGTACCAAACAATATCTACACAATTGCGCCTTCTTGTAAACACGCGTCAGGGCTGCCACTCTTGATAACCTATTTTCACCTAGGGCGGGCACTGGAATTATCTACGTTTCCCCTACAGCACATCCACAATATGCAATTTTCCCCCTGTTCCCCTACGTTCCCCTACAAATATTGTATTTCCCCTACAAATATTGTATACTTGTATTTTAAAATTGTCGTGCAGTTATCAACTTATCACTCATCACATGATATTTCAGTGCTTCCCCCAGGGCCTCTCAGAGGAGGGGGGCAAAAGGGGCAATTTCCCCCCGGCCCCAGTTAATTAAAGGTGGCCCTAAAATTTGCAAAATGGAGGCCACAAAAGGTGCCCAAAAATTATTTTGAACGTGTTTTATGTAAATAGTGGTATGAGAAAAATTTTTTAGACTTTAATTTCACTGGTGTTTGTCCGGAAAAATAATCCATAAATAAGTCCATAAATAATCTTGTAGTCCCATACAATGTTCCATACTCCATATGAAACCATAAAATATTGAAATTTACGGAACGACTGATTTGGATAAATACGAGTAAAAGAGAAATACGATGTTTGAGGATAAACCGTAAAAGAAACCCCCTACGTTCCCCTACAAATTACATTTTCCCCCTAGGTATTCCCTACCCCCTACAAGAGGTGATAATCTCCTACTGTAGGGGAATACCCCTACGAGTGGCAGCCTTGACACGCGTCGCGTGTATTCCAATGCGTGGCTCATTTTTCTCGCGGATGTTCAGACAAATTTCCCACCTGTTGCAGAGAACCTTTTTCCGCGTAAAGCATGATATGGTCGTCAGGGCAAGGGCCTTTCTTTCGTGAATTCGACTTTCTCCACGGATTCATGTGAAAAGTGTTCGCCAACGCTCTGTCGAAAGTCATGGGTTTTCTCCGTATGCTCCGGTTTCCTCCCACAGTTGTTAACCATGTTGGGATAAACATAGTTGAGAAGGTAATAATTGTAAAGATAAACCAGTCTCACAGGCTAAGTATGTAATTAGGTAAGCGTAATTTTATCATACTCCCGTGTAAGTTAGCGCTATATAATATCCAACAACATGTTCCTTAACACATCCACTTAGGAAATTGCATTTCGAAAGCGTTTTGCTATGTTCCTTCCTTCGCGACGGAGGATGGAGTTTCTCCAAAAAAATATTAGACAGTTGAACGTCGAGTTCATAAATAAAGACGTAACAGACCATATGTTAAATAGCAAAACTCGTCTATTGTAAAAAAGCATGTTTGATGCCAAAAGCGTAGCGGAATATATAATTCTTGGAAAAGAGCAGACGAAAGAACAGCCAACTGCCAAAGAGCATGTGGAAATGTTTTTGAAATTCAATTTGCGTCTTTTTCTTTCTTGATTACTGAAGGTTGCTGTACTGGTTGGAGAAACCCTTTCATCCGCATTGCGTTTTGACTTGGCGATGATAAAAATTTTGTAGTTTAAGCAAACGAACACGAACAAGAGGAATAAAATAAACACAGCTGTAAGAATAATACCTATTTTCCTGTAAAAATGCGCTGGTGGCGACAAACTCACTCTCGTGATCATTAAAAAAGTCTGAAAAAGTAAAAGTCTTTTTTTGGTGACTGCAGTTTGATGGAAAAATGGATATGTTATGGCCAGGAATCGTTCGATAGTCAGTGTTAACAGCGCAAACATTGAAAAACCTCCCAATAGGGTGGTTGTATATACCCGTGTGTCTTCAATTTCCCCATGATAAATTTCCATAGACCACAGAATAGTTGATAATATTAAGAGAGGATGAGCAATGGCGACTACAGCCAGATCAAAACAAGATAAAACAAAAATCATAAAGTAGCATAGTTTTTTTCGAAGTTGTGACGACCTCCACAGACTGATTATAACCACAGCATTCAGAAATATTCCTGCCACCATGAAGGAAACATTCACAAAACACAGAAATAACGCGTTAATCAAAGTGTTTGGTTCCATTGTATGTCGTGTGTCCGTATTTTCCTGCTTTCGTTTTAAAACGTGTTCTGTTGCATATTAGATATGAGGATAAACGCGAAAATTTTAAAATACACCTGCACATTTATATAAGTACTTGTTTAAAACTACATCATTGTCCGTTGAACTACACCTTTCGGCAAGGTTCCAGAAACCAAGTAGTTATACCACGCTGTTAATAAAAATCCGTATTAAATGATCAGTTACTTCGCTCTGTGTCAAGATATTTCAATCAGTAGAAGTAATTTAGGCCACGGTCAAACGTCAAACTTTTCATGCGCCAAACCTAATGCAAATGAAGTGAAACAAAGAACTACTTAGCTCATTAAGTTCGGCACATGCGGCAGATGCGGAATATGCCACGGGCCCGTGCCTTCCATGCAGGCCCCCGCAATTTAAGCTAAAAGTATATGATGCTATATTATTAATTATTATTTATATTTTTAGTCTAGCGGGACGCCTTGCTCCTAGGCGGCGTGGGGCCCTTTAATGTACTTGCTAAAGGCCACTAGATCCATCATGGATAAATTAGTTAGCAGCGCGGAGCTTTGATGTATTTGTAAACCACTTAATTAACTCCGCCTACATTGTAGCACTTATTTGCGTGTGCATTACGCCATTACCATTACAGTAAAACCGCCGTACATAGAAAGCCAGTCCGTTGTATGTGGGTTTATGCTTGATAATTGTACTATAATCTGCTCTTTGTGTTAATACTTCCGAGTTAAAGTGCCTCGGTTACAAAATGAGAGTTTACATTATTAGAATCTTCTTGAAGCGTTGATTATGAACAAACAAAACAGATTTAAAATTGAGCTTGTTTTCACGGAGTAATAAGGCAATGAAATTTGAAAATTTCAAATTTTAACGGCAAAGTTTTTGTAAACAGCGAAAGTGGGAAACTGCTAACTAATACGTCATAGCAGGAACACTTTGCCTTCTCGCATAAGTGAAAAGAATATAAATAGGCTAAGCGTAAATCACAATCAAGCCGGTGAAACCTCAATAAAAATGTCCTCATCGAGTTCAGATACGGAAAATAACAGCTACCAAAGCGACGACTCTGACTGGAACTATATTCCCTGGCCATATCAAATTGAGAAACCGAGTGAAATAGATAAAAACACTGGTGAAGCGCAGTCAAGCAGCGCCGATCACGAGCAAGACATTGGTCCGTATGTCAATGAGCCAGTTGCCGACGAAGACTGGCTCGCAAATTACCGCGAAAAAAATGAATCATATGACGAACGTCTTAAGTCAGTGCCTTTTTTAACTATATATTTGGGGGGGGGGCAATTGCCCCCCCCCGCCCCCCTCCCCCCAGGGAATGAATTTTCCCCACCCCAAGTAAAGCCATTTCTGCCCCCGAAGTGCGAAGCAGAATTGTTCATGATTCCTGTCAGAATTGCGGTTTATTTACTTGATAATGAGATTATATCCTTCCACAGCCTCCTCCACAACCATCTTGTGTGGAATTCACATTGCTCTTTACCGAGTTTTGCATAAAGCAATAGATTTCATGCAAACCAATCCGATAAAATGCTAGTATTTCCAAGCCTTGCGATATGGTTCCAAGAAGAATATATTAGATTAGATTTATTTTTCATCATCATAGCATGAATATTTTTTCTCAGACTTCTTCTATATCGCAATTTTGAGAATGCGGAAATGGTGTCTCATAGAACCTAAAATGATTTAAATATCTTAAAGAACTACAACGAAGGCTTGATGGTTCAGAAGAATTGACTAAATGGTAAATATTTCACTTTGACTTTGTTGCGTGACTTTACCTTGTGTTTCGTGACTTGTATATTGTGTATACGTAAACACAGTATTCAAATTACAAACTACAACCTTTCAGGTGTAAATGTGTGAATTGTCGCATTGAACTGCTTCATAATGCTAAAGAGTGTCAATGTTGTATGGAAATTGAGGAGTGCGTCGATTGTATATAAACAGTGACATTGTGATGCACGAAATCGAAGTTGTGCCATCATGTATACTTGAGCATCCCGGTTTTAGCAGCTTATGTCTAGACAAGTGGACCCTACGTTTTGCAGCCACGAAAATAAGGAAAAGGAAGAAGCAGGAATACCGCCAAACAAGTACAGAAGACAAGTACATAAAATTTTATTTACGAACAAATTGTCATGCAATTTATAAATTTTTTATACTTTATCATTCCCGAGTTATCAGTGAACGCACACGCGCCTTCATATACTTGCATTTATTAATACGTACTCGGGTATGGTAAAATGTAAAGAAATTATATATACATACTGTACAATATTGAATTAAGATGCTTACTAGACTAGTAAGCATCTTATTAAAAAGACCTATTTATTAAATAATTTGTAGATTCTTTCGGAGCACGGCATGTCGAACCTTTGTGTGGATGGTTTATGGGCATCTGGGAACTCGACGATATCCCTTACCAGCTTGCGCATATGGTAAAATACGAAGGCAGTTATGCCTGCTATTGACGAGGATTTCGTAGGATTTGTAGAGGAGGAGGACAGCTCTTGAATATATAATTGTTATTTTTATAGTGAGTATATGTACACATTAAGACCTGACTAGGAACGACTGCGAAAAATGCGGCACAAGGTCCTCTGGTAGGAATTGAACCTACGGCCCTGCGATTCCGGTGCAGCGCTCTAAGCAACTGAGCAACAGAGGCCAGCTGTTGCGAAGTGCAAGTAACCAGATCAAAGGTCCACCTTATCACAACCTGCACACCCGATCACCTATACATACATGAACTTACGGTTACTGCTCAACAGCTGGCTTCTGTAGCTCAGTTGCTTAGAGCGCTGCACCGGAATCGCAGGGCCGTGGGTTCAATTCTTACCAGAGGACGTTGTGCTGCATTTTTTGCAGTTGTTCCTGGTCAGGTCTTAAGGTGTATATATACTCACTTGGATTACAAACCCTAAAAACAGCACTCTGATATTAATTCCACCAAGTGAAGTGCAAGAAACCAGATAATTGAAGTCCAGCTTATCACAACATACACACCCGTTCACCTATATATTAGGGAGCTTTAGATTTGACTACGAGTACGACTACGAGTACGAGATTCGTCAAGCTAAACGCATGCTGTATGCTTACGCCATCCCGTACTGACGCGATAAAGTCGTAGCCGTCGCCCATCTGAGTACGAAATTGTGGAGAAACCTCGTAGTCCTCACGACGACTTTAAAAAAAAAACAAAGAATGTTGGCTTTTTTTAATTTCCAAAAATAATTTGTAGCATTTATATAGCGTTTATCCGGCGCAAATAATATATTAGTACTAAATATCTGGCCTATTTTTAATGTTATGATTTATTTACACGTTTTGTAGGGGATTTTAGTCGGCAGGAGATTTAGTTTATGAAACTTTTTCTCTAGTTGTTGATTTACTGTTATAAAAGCAACATTTGAATGGAAACGAAAACGGCTACGGTAATTTCCTCGCACGCGATCAAATCTCGTACTCGTAGTCGTACTCGTAGTCAAATCTAAAGCTCCCTATTCATGAACTTACGGTTACAGCTCAACAGCTGGCCTCTGTAGCTCAGTTGTTTAGAGCGCTGCACCGGAATCGTAGAGCCGTAGGTTAAATTCCTACCAGCGGACCTTGTGCTGCATATTTCGCAGTCGTTCCTGGTCAGGTCTTAAAATGTATATACAATCACATGGATTACAAACTCTAAAACCAGCATCCTGATATTAATTCCCCCAAGTAAAGTGCAGGAAACCAGATCATTGATTTTGCCTTGGCAACATGTTTTATGGCTTGTGTTTAGTTCTAAACTCGATGGTTTCATTTAATTTATAAGGTTAAAAGCAAGGCACGTTTTGAGCATTTATCAATTTCCTAACTGAGAAATTCTCTATTGTGAGAAAAATTTCAGCATCAAATATCCTCACAATATTAGGAGACACAGTCACACAAGGATACACAATATAATACATATTAAACACAGCCTATTGTAATATATCATGTAGCCTGCAATCCATTTGGTTCTGAACTGTCTCTGTCAGAACTTGGTTCTGAACTGTCTAGGTCAGTGTTGGTAGTGCCAACAATGACAACCTTTCTTTGACGTTTCGAGCGAAGGCCGAAGGCCTTTCGTCTGGAGTATTAAACTTATAAATACTAACTGCAGACAAAGAGCCTGCGCTAGATACGTCGACATTTTCCTTAAATTTTCAGATAGTTGCATCCCCACCAACGAAAGATTGTTACAAGGTTTTAGAAGCTATATTTGAAAACTTACCCTCTGGCTTCTGTATTACTGAGCGTTATGAATTCATGTTGTTGACTTATATAATACGGCAATACCGCCAGACACTCTATTGGACATGCACGGCTTCTGCTGTTGTCATTTGGAACAGTTTGTGTCTCTGAATGTAAGTTATAATTTATAAACCGTTTCCCGAGCGAAATCAGGAATCAGCAATAACAAATATAATTCATAATCTAAACAGCAAATATGCATGTGCGCTGAATAATGGAAGATTTAACACACCTTTTGTCCAAATTTTAACACACCTTAAGGTGGGTTTTAGAACACACCTTAAGGTGTGTTTAACACAGCTTTTGGCTTGTTTTGTAACACGTACAGCTTAAGGTGTTTTTAACACACCTTAAGGTGTGTTCTAAAACCCACCTTAAAGTGTGTTTTCGGCTTGTCCAGATTTTAACACACCTTGAGGTGTGTTTTGTATAAAGGTGTGTTTTTGAGCACATCATGGCGTGTTTTCGTACACACCATGGCATGTTTTCATACACACCATGGTGTGTTTTCATACACACCATGGCGTGTTTTAAAACACACCTAAAGCTGTGCTGTATAACACACCATTCAGGTCTGTAATGTTTACAGCACGTTGTAAGGTGTGTTTCATAACACACTAAGGTGTGTTACATAACACACCTACAAAAGATGCTAAATTAATCAAAAAATTAATATACAATCGGACAATCTAACAGCTTAGGTTTATATATAACATATGTAATTAAGTCATTTAACCCACTAGCACGCAGGACTCTCTCTTCTTGATGACTAAAATTGTCTGGCGCTTGACAGAGTAAAATAACAAAGGCGGGTCCATTTCAGCTTAATGGGTTATCAAGGTACATTGGCGCGGCAGATAGTTTGGACAACCATTAGTGAGCAGGACACTGCTCTTGAGGAGTAAAATTGTCTGGCATTTCACAAAGTAAAATGTCTGGTCTTAGATACTTAGATAATGCAACATAACAAAGAAAAAATAAAAAAATCTCATGCTGGCGTCATTCACGTTGGTATATCAGATCATAGCCTAATATATGCAGTTCACAAATTCAAACCACTTAAACGAAGGCCAACTATTAAAAAAGTTCGTAATTTTAAACACTTTTCTGAAACATAATTTATATCGGACCTAACCAATATTCCTTGGCAAACTATTTTCACAACAAGTGATCCAAACTTGAGTTGGAATAAGTGGAAGGAACTATTTTTCGGAACACTAGATAAACATTCTCCTGTTAGACATATAAGATCAGGGAAACACACCACTCCGTGGATGACAGCGGAAATAAGGTCAGCTATGAGAAGAAGAGACTACCATAAGAAAAAGGCCATAAAATTGAAATCTGATTCACATTGGCATAATTATAAGAGTTTGCGTAATAAAGTTAATAATAATAATATCTACTTTCTATATCAACAAAATGTCTGAATGTCCAGAAACTAAGGATTTAAAAAAATGCTGGTCTACAATAAATTCTCTGCTAGGGAAACAAAATAAATCCAATTATATTAGTGAGCTTAAAGTTGGTGAAACTGTCATCACAGACCCTAATCTCATTGCGGAGCATTTTAATACACACTTCACCAACATTGGAGTGTACCCTGATGAAAATGATACGCCAAACGAACGTGGAGAAAATCTTTATTTCTCTGACTCAAACATCTATTCCCAAACTATTAATAAATTTAATTTTTCTCTCGTTAAGGTTGGTAGTGTCCTCTGTAATTTGAAACACCTTAAAGCAAATAAATCCACTGGCCTAGATGCCATCCCTGTCTCCTTCCCGACAACCGGTTTCGTATTACATTTCGATACATTTTTTCTAATATAAATATCTCGGCGAGTATTTACCCCCCTATTAAATAAATGCCACCATTGAAATCCTCACAATATAACCTTTCGAACGGGGGGTCAAGTGCCGTCAAAACATTACACAAACCGAAACAATCATATATTTATACTCACCGCTTCGCCAAACATTCAAACGAGAAAATTAGAAAAAGTTGAATATATTCTAAACTTTGGTGTCATTTCCTGAAAGGATATATGTGTAAAATACTCTTTGTATTCAAGCGCTTTCGTGTAGAAAGTTTCGTATGTATACGCCGAATAGAAATATTTATTTTGAATTTTTAAAGTATCGGGTTTTACTAGCACGCGCTTGTACTACGTAATACTTGGCCAATAAGGAGCTCCCTTTAGCCGGGATGACGTAAAACTCACGCGTATGGGTGCACTTTGACCTGTAGAATCTATTTCAGGCATTTCCAGAGTCAAGCGATACAAGCGCAGTGAGCTCCATATATATCTGGAGTAGGAACTTGGTTGCTCAAAGTGAAGCCAGTTTTGTGTTAACCGTGCATACAAAAACAATAGAAAGGGACTGGAACTGACGTCCAACAGCTCCTTCAATTTCCGCCATCTTGGCAAGGAGTGTGTTGAAATTTCGTATTTTGACTTCGATTTAAAGAATAATATTGTGATTTTATGAACTGAAAACTTGATTAGTGATATGGTCCATCAGAAAAAACTGGAATTAGCTGGGGAAAATGGTATAAAAACTGTTTACGACCTTCACAGCTATTGGACGTCAATGGCCGCCATCTTGGATTTTTTTGGCTTCACTTGGCCTATTGCCAAAACATCAGAAGTTCCTACTCCAGATATATATATATAGAGAGCTCACTGTACAAGCGTAGCATTGTTTTGACGGGTTTTCGTCGTATTTCCGGTTGGGATTAACGCATATTCGGAGCAGAAATACAAAATTCGGCACTAAATGTCGAACTTTAAAGACAGAAGCTTGAAAGTAACACTATACGTGTTATTTTTGACTTCTGAATCCATCAAGACGATCAGAATGAGCATACGTCTCAATGGGACGAAGTTATATTCGGCGAAAGGTATGTTTATGTTTATAATTTGTCAGTAATATTGCGTAATTTGATCATATTTATTCATATACGAGCTCGTTTGACTTTCAAAGCTCATAAATCGCTATAATGTTGCCATTCACTAAATATATCGATAGGAATGAGTAGCTATCGTTACACTGAATCGAATGGTGGTATTTTGGTCCACGTAGCATTTACCGAACTGAAGATATGAACCGCAAAAATGATAAATCATGAGTGATTTGTTTAATAGGGACCTGTCGGGAAAGAGTGAAACGAGCTCGAGTAATTCCTATCTTCAAATCTGAAGATAAAAGTAAATGTGAAAATTATAGACCCATTTCTATTTTGTCAATTGTAAGTAAAGTCTTTGAAAAAGAAGTGGTTAGGCAAATGTATACGTACGTGAATGAAAGTAATCTTCTCTCAAAGTATCAATCTGGCTTTCGGCCACAACACTCAACCTTATCAGCCCTCATTAAAATATGTGACGAAATCTTAAATAACATGGACGAAGGGAAAATAAACTGTATAATATTTTTAGACATACGGAAAGCTTTTGATTCAATAAATCACAATATTTTATTAAGTAAAATAAGATCCAACTTTGGCATTAGCTGTAATGAATTACTCTGGTTTGAATCATACCTGACGAATAGGGAACAACAATGCGTAGCTAATGGGATACTATCCTCCGTTGGAAAATTAAAATGTGGGGTCCCCCAAGGGGCCGTTGTTATTTTTGCTCTACATACCATATTGTCTCCAAAAAAACCCCGCTGGGTCTTTATGCTGACGACACGGAAATTTACGCGTCATCACACAATGTAAATGATCTTATTGACAACATAAATTATGACCTAAATATTGTTAGGCAATGGGTGGAGAATAATAAGCTACAAATTCATCCTAAGAAATCTAAATGTATGTTTATTGCATCCCCTTATAAAATTAAAAATATACCTCAAGGAATACCGATACTAATTAATAATGTTCCTGTCCCAAGATTAAATTGCTACAAATGCCTCGGTGTCACTTTAGACGAAAAATTGAACTGGGAACATCATATTGATATGATTATTAAGAAAGTTAATGCAGGCATTGAAGTAATTAAACGTATGAAAACCTGTGTTCCTCAGGAATTCTTACAAACAGTTTTACAACGCCTTAATACAACCCTATTTTGACTACTGCTGTCAATTGTGGGATACCTGTGGAATCGTCCTAAAGGAAAAACTACAAAAATGTCAATCCCGAGCTGCTAGAGTAATAACAGGAGCATCTTATGATATTAGGTCGGCCGATGTTCTTGCAACTTTGGGGTGGCAAACTCTCGACAATAGGCGAAAATACTTGAAATCCATCTTTATTTACAAAATCTTAAATAATGAAACTGCTCCAAACCTGAAAGAAATTTTTTTGAAAATAAGTGATTGTCCAATTACACACCAATTAAGAAATTCTCAAACAGATCTGGTACTTCCATTCCCAAAATCACAATTTAAGAAAAAGACCTTCAATTATAGTGGAGCAACTCTTTGGAATAACTTATCAATTACTGCTAAACAATCCAATTCTTTGAGTTGTTTCAAAAGACTAATGAAACTACATTTTCGAAACCAATAAGTACGTAAATAGTTTTGTATGTTTGTTATTTATTTATGTTTGTTAATTGTCAAAATAATAATCATGTAAATAGTTTCTATTATGTATATGTATTAGTCTTATTCTTACACGTCCCCTATGGAAACCATCAAAAGATGTTAGGGCTGACGTGTTTAACTAAATTTTTATGTATGTATGTATATGTATGTATATGTATGTAGCCAAGTAGGGTGCACTTGGGCACATTGCTGCTCAAATTAAGGGTTAACAATAAAAGGGTGCATATATTAGCTAAGTATATTGAATATCAATATACAGTCATTTAACAAGTTAATTTGTTTGGCATTTCAAGACATAGGATGCAACGGACGGATATCTGGCCGGATATTAAGATTTTAATTCTTTATCTGGTATCCAGCTGCCCAATGCCGGATATTATTTATGTAGGGTTCAGGCCTTCTTTTCAGGTTAGAAAATGATTTGATAAGGTTATCATATCATGATCATTGAAGTAAAAATATGATAAATATGATATGATATGATAATTTATGCTTGTTTGTACAGTAAATGGGGACTTGAACATTTAACTGATGTAAACGAGGCCTTTGCTACCAATGATGCATGTTTACTAGTTCTAGACTGTTTACTTTTTAACCAAATAAAATTATTACCGGTACTTAACCTTAAATGATGCCTGAACCTTATCCCCGAGCCGACGGCGCGAAGCGCCGTGCGAGGGTACTAATGGACCTTTCCCCTTATAACTAAAATTTCGATCTAGACAAAAATTTCATCACAGCTTGAAAGAGCATCACAAAATCAGTAATATTCCAAAGTTTTGTTGCAAAATCTTGTAAAATGCGGATAATATGGCCTTGCGAAGTTTGCCGTTTTTCAGTCATTTTGTATTACAAACGGGAAATTGACATCCGATTCGGGTGTTGGGGCTGCAATTTCCCGTTTGTAATGCAAAATGACTGAAAATCTTCGCAAGGCTCTATTTTCCTCATTTTACAACATTTCGCAACGAAACTTTGGAATATTACTAATTTTGTGATGCTCTTTCAAGCTGTGATGAAATATTTGTCTAGACTTGCCTAGATCAAAATTTTGGTTATAAGGGGAAAGGTCTATTCCCTCCGGCTATTTACACCCGGGGAAACGAAAGCATTAGCCAAGTCTAAAGTTCATCAATGAGCGCGGACGTGGGTTACCGTGAGTGGTTCGGTGGGTGGTGGGTGGTCATCCTCACTGATCTCAAAAATATGGCGGGCTGTCATGAATAGCGGACACTGATTGGTCCAATTTAAAGTTTGCATTATAACGACTGTCGACTGCATGACGACAGCGAAATAGCAAACATTTCTTGATTTGATGATTGATAAATTTCTTGCAAATATATTTAATTTTTGCTCGCATTTTTGCAAGATTTTGTAAATTTCAAGAAAGAAAGGGCGAAAGAATCGGCTAAAAGAAGGGAGCTGACGTCAACGAAGGTAAGTTTGTTTTAAATATTGATTTTATAATTACTTTAAAGCATATAATTACAGTGTATTAATAATATTGATTCCCTTTTTTATTAGGCCTAAATTGAATTTTTTAAATAAGAAAGAAAGCAAAATTATTTGCATGAGAGAATTTGAAATCATTTTATTGCAAACTCAAAGTTTATCGATAAAGCCTTTTTAATAATTAAAGGCAGTTTTAAATAGTTTTATAAAGAACATTTTAAAACGTTTTGCGAAGCTTTTGTGGTTGAATTTTACCTTAAATTGAAGCTTATATTACGTATAATAACATACCTACCTTATATATATGTTGGGAAATTGATAATTTTGTAATTAAAAGTGATATTTTTAGGCGATTTTTCATTTGTAAAAATATTCTTAAAAAATTATCGTGTTACCATGACAACAACTTTGGAATGGTTTTGTCAGCAAGGTGAGGGTTTCTGCATGCATGTATTTTCTAGTATAATTATTTGAATAATACCCTGAATCAGGCTGGATATTTTTCAGCTATCCAGCATATCCTGTATCTGGCTGGATAGCAGAAATACTCTGTCCTGCACACCCCTAGAAAAAAACGAAAGTAGGCAACATTTTTGGGGAAATTGTTTCTTCGGTGTTAATAGGTGAAATGAGGGCAAGCAGCTATAGTCCACAGTCGATAAGTAAATTTGTCTAGCATGAGACGTCACAGTTCAATATTAAAGTACTAAAAGTAGGGAGTGTTAGGGAAAATTGCATCTAAATATGTCAACATGAAACATGGGCAAAATCTAGCTACACACAAATTAACTTGTCCGGCATTAGGAAAGGTGACATAATTTAAGAAAGTGCTGAAAACTGGGTTAATTGGAGTGAATTGGGTTGTTACATATATTACTAAGCAGATCATATGGGTGATGTAGCTAGCTAAATGTATTCATGAGTTTGAACAAACAAACTAAGGACTTTAACTGTTTCCAATTACGGAGATGTCCATATTCAAGTTGTCACACAAAACATCAAATTGACATTTTTATCTAAGCCGATCTATCCATCCTTGAAAACTTCAAGCATGACATACAAAGAAACGTGGAATTTAATCCCCCTACCCCATTCCATGCATTGATGTCTTAGTACATCTCACTATTATCAGTCTCAGAAGATTCTACTCTTGGATTCCTCCCCCTTTGGATGACTAAAATGTCCTTTGCATCTGAAAGGGTTAATATGAAATGTGACCCTCTGATGTTAGACATAGTAAAATCAGTACTGAAAGTAGCCTGGCTTTTATCTTTAAAATGTATTAACACAAAATGCGGGCAGACAATCTAGTTTCAATGAAAGGTTAAAACCTTTCAAGTCCAACACACTCCAAATTCACAAACAAAATCACCATGCAGGGGTTGATTGTTCGAAAGCCGATAAGTTAGCCTATAGATTAAGCAAACTTCCTAACAGTTTGTTTATAAATGACATCTTGTCTGGATCAATACCATAGGAGTTTACTTTTCATAATTTTAAAACAAAAAGATACTGTATGTAGAAATACATACATTTTAACTACGGGTTAGGGTTAATCCGGCTATGCAAGCCTTAAAATATCGGTCGGTTATGGACATTGTCCGACCCATTCGTGAAATTGTTCGATGTAGAGAGGAAACCACCGGACATTCTGTCCGACCAAAGTGAAATTGAGGTTTATTGTTTGTCCGACCTGAGTGTATTTGTGGGAGACTGGGGAGCAAAAACGGCATACTCTGAATGATGTTATTTAATTTCAAAATGGCGCGTATTTATTTTTGTTCGTCGAAGAACTGAAAATACAAATGCAATTTGTGAAAAAACTGCGGGTCTACGGAGCGGTAACTTTTCGGATTTGAATTCAGCGTGTTCGAAAATGTTAGTTACCGTGAAAATATTTCAGTTCCACGACATGCTTAATGAAAATCGTTTTCTAGGCATATTTTTAGGTCACGGCAAACGGCCTAAAATTGATAACGGGAACAATTTAAAGTGATATACAGCTATTTCAATTAAGGTTGTCCCCGAGCAAAGCGGTAAAGTCGAATGCGAACGCAAAAGGCTTGCTGGAAATTGCTAATAAATTAATGGATATTTTAGGGATTCCCAACAAGCCTTCCGCGCTCGTATTCGACTTTTCCGCTTTGCTCGGGGACAACCTTGATTAAAATAGCTGTATTCCACAAGGATATAATAGTAATTATAAATAAAAAATTTCAAATACCAGGTTAATATATTCTACTTTTGTCTCTAATTTTGTCTCAGACTTTAGAGTTGCTATATGCGAAGCGAACGCCACGTCGCTATGATTCATGCTTAAAACGAGGTAAATTTCCAGGTTATAGTCTATAGAGAAGGCAAAAATTTGGGATCCCGCGCGAAGAAAATGCCACGGGCCCCGAGTTGTGTAAACGCGGCCCTGAGAGTTTTGCATATGACACACAACAATGATCTCAAATGAAATGTCCTTTTATGGAGAGAAGCATAGTAGAAAAGGCACAAACACAAACCGTATAGATGGAAATAATTGGAGAAAATTACCATACCGCGCTAGTATAGCGTGGGCCTGTTTATTATTATGGATAATATTATGTATATGCATGCATGTTAGTACTATATAGTTGTTATGTTTTGCTAGTCATTTCGTTTATGTCTAGTTTGTATGCTAATCAAGATAATTTAATTCCCAATGACGTTAAGCATGTTCCACAAATGCAAACAGCTTGCTTTATCGTTAACAAATCCAGTGCATTCGGTTTGCCATTGAACTTGGTTAGACGAGCAAAATGAATTCCGAAAGAAGTGAAAATATTCAGAATTCGTAAATCGCTGTTTTGCGCAAAACGAAAACGGCGAACGGACGGGTAGAATTGGGGCCAGGTATGGGCGGACAAACATTTGTCAACATTGCATGATTAGAATTGCCCAACGACATGATCCTGGGTTTATTGTTCGAAGAATGTAGAAGGTAAATAGAAGGAACATATCTCCTATGCGTATACAGACCTGCGGAAATCATGTCAATAAAAAAATATAGATAACGGTTTACGAATATTTTTGGGAAAATAAAATATTCAAGTGCTCTAGTTTTAACTTTAATAAATTGCATTTCACTATCTTCCATGCATTAGTATAATAACGGCTGTTGATATGTAGCCGGGCTGGCCCGCGGTTAATCGGGGTGATGAACACCCAAAATGATATTTCAAAGTTGAATCAGCTTAATTCGAGCCTAGTAACAGTATAAAGTTACTTTAAACGATCTTTTATTGTCAGGAAAAAGACTTTCGTGACACGATTTTTCCCAGCTCGTATGAACACTTAATTATTCTTGCGTTTCCTGAGTTTAAACAAATAAAAGCTTTTAGCAAGCAGCTGATACAATCATTCAGTTATTGAACCTAATTATGTGTTATTTGGATGCAGTGTCGACGTTGTAAGGAGTTTAGGATTTTGTCGAGGACCGTGTGTCCAAGGTGTGAGGTCGAGTGAACATTTGCGGGCAAAATAATTTGTTTAGTCGCTGGAAACAACCGCAGCGTGCGGCGTCTTGGAAGCTATGTTGTACCATAAGAGAATAAAATAAATATAGCGCGTATTGTCCCTATTCAATAGACAATAGAATAGCTTGCAACTTGCAATCCGAGACAACGCAGATAATGGACCACGCCCTTTTGAATTCTCAACTATAGCTTTTGATAGGCATTTTTAAGTAGTCGTTAAACATGTGAGCGAAATTTGATGAATGTTTATTTATAGGTAGAAATAGTTTGCGGAAATACCAGATTCATTTCGAGTGTTGAACATGATATCTGACGAGTCAGCGCAGCGAACGAGTGAGATATCATGTTCAACACGAGAAATAAATCTGGTATTTCCAAGCACCCATCTATTTTTCTGTTTATTATATAGAGGACAGCCTTTGAAAAGCGATAATTGAAAAGCGATAATTTTCACGTGTGAAATTATCATAAATAATCTCACATGTGAGATTATCAGTTTTATCAGTGCTCGAAGTGCTATTTAAAGCACTATACTTTATATAATAAAAGTAATTAAATAATTATTTTGTTCAACTATACCAAAATGTAAAGTACCCTCAAGCTTTTCACCCTCGAATTTCTGCCCTCGACATAAAATATTTTCAAAATACGACTCTTGACTTTTTATATATGACCCTAAACTTTTTATACATTACACTCGACTTGTTATATATGCCCCTCTACTTTTCATATATGACCCTGGACTTTTTACCCTCGTTAAATGTCAAATAAATCTTCAAGTGATAATGTTGTAGATTGCATTTATTGTTCACGTTAACCAAGTTAAAATTTGAATTAAACCCTCCAGGTAATATTTAGTGGCGACACAGCAAGACTTTTAAATCGTTACTATTACATGTTAGAGGATGAATATAAAGAACAGAAAGGATTAGAAGGTATTTAGGTCTTGATATATCTTAACTTCTGAAGTTCCTCAGAATATTATATTCTTGCGTTGTCATAATTTTAACTTTCCTGAAATAACCACAGTAAGTTTATGCAAATCCAAACGCAAGGATTTGTTGGTGCATGGCCTTTATGTTGAAAACGATCATGCGAAGGCATCAAGTTAGATTTACATGCAGAGCCACAAAAATCCAAGTTTAGACAAAAATACATTCAAGAGATACTGTTTAAGGAAGAAAAGCGATTATAGTTCAGTCTGAGGAAACTGTTTAATACAATAACGAAAACATCCTAACAACTGATCATAAAAAGTAGTATATTAAACGAGAGACAAGTTAGCGGAAAAGGAATTAATAAAGTTATGATAAAGTGAATAAAGGTTTTATTTTGAATTGAGGAAATTTTTAACTGAGTAGCAGCTAAAACCTGAAATATACAGAATTAATTACATGCAATATTTCAAAACATAGTAAAAAGGACTCTTAATAACATAATATACTACCCGAAATTTTTTTTAAATATGTGATACCATATGTTATACCATGCAAATTTTAAATATAATTAGTCATTATAAGCTAAAATACTTGAAGGTAAGAACGAGTTTCGAAATCTATTAGTTTTACAGTCAATTAATTTGACATGGTTATCATTACGAAGAGTATAATTTATTAAGTTCTCACGTCTATCAGGAACGAGTTTGTGCGACTTGTGTTTGGAGTGAAGAATTCGTTTTTTGAAATACGACAAACATATATCATTTCTACTTTGACTAAGTGGTTGAATCCATTACGTTTCATCACTTCCGAAAACGATAGATCGGAATGCATTTATGTTTAATCGTAAAGCGCGTTTTTGAATCCTTTTTGAATTTTTTAATTCGTCTATTGCCACCTTTAATTTATTTTCGATATTTTAAAGAAATTATCTCAGACATTCTTCAAAACAAGAAGATATCAGAGGCAATTTTGGTGCAAAAACAATCTGAAAAGTGGACAGAAGGTGATCTACACCCAATGAAAACAAAAAGAAATCTCCTTTTATCACCATCAGAAAGGTATTGTGTAAAATGATGCCATCAACACAACAATGCCTTGTACTTTTCTCAATTGTTGTGAGCTCAACAACAACAAAAACAACAGCAGCAGCAGCAACAACAACAACAACAACAACAACAACAACAACAACAACAACAACAACAACAACAACGACAACGACAACGACAACGACAACGACAACGACAACGACAACGACAACGACAACGACGACGACGACGACGACGACGACGACGACGACGACGACGACGACGACGACGACGACGACGACGACGGCGACGACGACGACGACGACGACGACGACGACGACGACGACGACGACGACGACGACGACGACGACGACGACGACGACGACGACGACGACGACGACGACGACGACGACGACGACGACGACGACGACGACGACGACGACGACGACGACGACGACGACGACGACGACGACGACGACGACGACGACGACGACGACGACGACGACGACGACGACGACGACGACGACGACGACGACGACGACGGCGGCGACGACGACGGCGACGACGACGACGACAACGACGGCGACGACGACGACGGCGACGGCGACGGCGACGGCGACATGCGCAGTTTGTATAGTAAATGCGCAGTTCCTGTAGTCAGTTTCGAGTGCAAATTTGGAGTAAAAACATGCACGAGTGAGTTTTTCATAGACGAGTCCGAGGAAGCCGAGGAAAACTCAAAAACAGAAGGGCTAGCTAGCCATATAAAACCCAGGCTTAGCAAGAAAACCAAATAACAATTAGTAGATTCTGCATCTTGTCAATCAAATTGTTATTTGAAATAATGACCATATATAAAGCTAACAAAGTGTCCTATTTTCAGCTCGGTAAATGGTGAACTCCTTACCAGGCTCTTGGTGATAGACTACAGAGCCGTGTTATCGTCCACCCTGGGACAAACAGTTTACCTGCCAATCATGTTCTCCATATTTGGATTAACAGCGGGAATTGTTTACTGGCAGGCGAAGACGCCGTTAGAGATAATCACTGCCTACTGTGGCTCGTCTATCCCGAGTCTTCTATTTCTCGGCTCCCTTCTTCTAAATCGCATCAATAACAGCTTGGAGGTGAGTATAAAATTTGTTTACAAAGAAAAAAAGGTTATTGTAATGGTGAAGAAGGTAAGAAAGGTGTTCTGCTGCTGGTCAGTGCGGATGTAATCTTTGACTATGCGCGTCAACTTTTTTTTTATGAAAACACCTGAACATTTAAAGGAGAATGGGAATAAAAAATTAGTTCAGTTCATTTGAAAGAACTCTTAAAACTATATATTAAACTCTATTACGGATTGTTTATATCTTTCTAAGTTTTCGAAATATTTCGACTGAAAAAGAGAGCTGTTTGCCATCTTGGATTATTGAAGATGTGCATAGTACATGTTACGTCGTGGGAGGGGTCACGCTAATTTTTTATCTTGAAAGTAAGCGATCAATATGGGTCCAAAATGTCGTTTCTGGTTGATGTCTGAAATTTACAAATTATTGAAAATATTTCAAATAATTTTGGATTGTTACTTGGTCATTTTAGAGTGGTTTTATATCGTTAAACCCAAGTAGTGACATCATCAAAACCAACCTCGTTCCCCGGGCCTTTTTTGGAAATGCGCATTATTACATACTGAAGCATTGTGAATGTTTACCAACTTTGCCATATTAATTAAGTATCTTATTTACCAGGCTGATCACTTTTAGGTTCAAGTCAATTTAATTCTTAACATTTCATACTTTTTCCTGTGGGAAAGTGGGCGCATTTATCCCACTCATTTCTCACTCCATGTCTTGGTAATGATGTGAGGGGATGAAATTCGACTATAGTGAAATGTACCCGCGGGCAAAAGACTGTTTTAGTCTTAGGCTTATTTCGTTTTATCCCAATGTCTTCTATCTTCTTCTTTACTTATAAAGTCATTCCCCTGAAATATATTCTGTGCTTAGATTACTACCAGTTTATCAACCTTTAGCTATTAATATTGGTTGCTTACCTTATAGAAACTTAAACTGTGAAAGAAAAACTGGGGGTACTCCATTCGTTTAGGAGCAGCAGCAACTTGCAGATTCCTTGCAACATAGTCACAGTTATATTTCTAATCCAATTCTCGTTTGCCAGAAAATAATGGTTTAAGTCTGTGGCAAGCCTGGCCATAAAGATAAAGCAGCCATTTTTTATACATCTCGCATCTTCAAGCAAGTCTTCCAACAATTAAGCCGTAAACCGCAAGTTGTGTCGCACTGCTTATCTCAAGATCGATGTGAACAAGTATGGAACAACTTGTTAACAGTTGTAACAACCTTGTTGATATTATATAACTTGTTTCAAGGTTGTTCCAACAAGACCAATACAGTCATGATTGATAACAATATTATTACAATCTTGTGTCTCCAACATTGTAACATTCTTGTTACATCATCACTGTATCAGACTTGCTAGAACAACTTTGTAACAGATATAATAATGCCAGGATTCTTCCAAACTTGTGGACACAACTTGTCTACACCTTGTGAATAGATTTGTAACCACTTGTTTGCAGACCTGTAACAACTTGTGCGTTTTTACGTGTGTACACACGTAATCAGAATTCATGTTTTCACTGCTTGTTCCCAGTTATTGTGACAAATCTGAAGCAAACCGTTGTCATATTGTTACAAGGTTGATAACGATTTGCTACTTATTTAGAACTTAAGTTGTTCCAGCAAGACTAATACTGGTTTGTTTGCAACAACTTGCTACGAGCTCGTTGTCATCAACTTGTTAACAACTTGTTAAGTGCAGACGATATCAGACTTGTTGGAGCCTGGAAGAACCTAGTGGTGCGAGTCTGTTGGCCTCATCGACCTTGTTAAAAGGCGATAACAACTTGTTCCAAACTTGTCAACAACTCAGAACAAGCAGTGTAAACACATCTTGTTGACAAGCTGTGAGATTTTCACGTGTGTATAACTCTCTCTTCAACTCATTAGAATAAATATTAATTAAGGTTTTAACGCATTCTTGTGGAGAGTTGATTATATCCATTTACAACATCATTTGGCAGGTTACTTCATGCCGAAGCTCCCAGTAGGAAAATTAAAGGATTTCTTCATAAAATCAGTGTTAGGTTTTCCCAAGTAAAGTCAGTGCTCCGCAGTTGATACAAATAATTATGTTTAAATTTAATTCTTTCTGTTACATGGTTAACGGTTATATTATTATCATTCAGGGATAATCTTTAAGTTGACATTTCACATGGCTGAACAACTTTTATTTTTCTGTTGCCCAGACCTGCCGATTAGGATGTTCCGAAAACGCTGGTTGTTCATATGAACAAGTGATACAGATTTTTCTAAGCACATCCGCTGCCTGCGTGTTACCAGTGATCGCTTGCTCAGCTTTGACATACTTCATGGTTATCACGGCGTATAACTGGTGGCGATTTTTCCTGGTGACAACCATTTCTCTGGTTTTGAACCAAACGTGGATTGCAATTTACATGATGGTAATTTACACAACACCGAGTAACGCGTCTCACGCAAGCGCCGTTATAGCCGTATTAGGAGGATTTTCCAGTGGTTTTATTGTCACGAGAGATCGCATGCCTGTAGTGTGAGTATCAATTCCATTTAGCTGCCATAGGATGTCATCACTATTTAACTGCGTGTAGCGTCGGATAACGTTGGTTTCCTTTTTGTTGGTTTCAATAACAACTGCAATTCCAAATGCAATTCCAGATTTTAATTTATGCGTGAGGGGGCAGGTGATGGAATGTAAGGTATCATATTGCTGATTATGCTGAGAAATAAAAATGACGTCTGTGTAAACAAGGAGTGATAGCATTATACTTGTAAATATTGAAATATTTCGTTTTTTCGGCAGCTTTTATTGAAATTTGTCAGCATAATCAGCAATATGATACCATACTTCCCGTCACCCCGTGCGCGCAAAAATTCAAGGCTGGAATTGCTTATTGTCAGCAAATAATGAATTCAGTGGCAAATGTATGTGATAAGCTATGTAGACTATATAGGCCTACAGCCCGTTTGTGGTGCTTGCTATATACTCTACTTCGATCGAAATCAGTCAAATATTTTGCCATATATATCTAAGCAAATTGATTGCGCATTTTGAGAAATTTATGCTAAATTTATCTTCATCGATCCTTACTTATCGCAGTCCCTTTGTTATTCTAATTTTTATTATAATTCTGCTACTTTTAGCAAATGATTATAAATTCATGCCGAACATGATGACAGTTTTTAAAATTTTCCGGAAATGCAGTCAAATGTTCGTCACATAGGTCATTTGAAATGTGGCATATCCTCGTTAGATAATTTTGGGCTGCTAGCACCAGATAATAGTTGCAACTTATTCAATGCTTTCACCATTTCAGGTATAATCTCTTATTCTATATCAACCCACAGTTCTATGGCTACTCAGCTATTACTAAAGTCATGCTACAGAATGACCGTATGAAATGTGAATTCGAATCCACATTGAACTGTATCAGCAAAGATGGCAATGCTGTGCTGGCCATGTTTGGGTTTGATTCAGTTAATCCTTATGGCCATCTTGTGGTAAGCATATATCGTCTTCTATTGTACTCTTTTACCCAACATGGCGCTTGCGCAGGAGTGTTTTCAATTTTATCTCGTTCATGTAAAGCATTGCATCAACCCTAGTTCATATTCAAGCTTCATCCTCTCTGTAGATTTCTAGTATTTTCCAGCAGGCAGCAGTTACAAAGTGCTCCAATTCTCGCCAATGTTGGTCCTTTCCTTCGTGGGAGACCGACTGCCTAATAGTTAGGATTCCAACACTGACCGAATGATTCTGCTGTGGTCATTCTTGGGCCGCAAGACATTACTCTCACAACGCCTTTCTCCCAGTACTGTAACTTCCTCCTCCGCAGACCCTCGTTGTGTCATGGGAAGGTCACGATTTCGAGAGGGCCTGTGGAATTTTGTAAAATGAATAAATGTTGTTCTAAACCTGCTTCATTAAAGTTGCGGGATGCCCAGGCGTGTTGCGGGATGCCCAGGCGTGTAGCAAGACGTGTGTTTAGTAGCTCCGCTAATCTTCGAAATTTTATTCACTTTTTATTCAACTTTTGCTACGAATGGCAACAAATCTGCGTAATAACTTAAAGATAACGGGAGAAAGGCTTTACTGGGACAGTACAGTGAGTAATTTGAAGGAATTTGTCTCAAATGAGTTAGGAATATCGGGAAAATGGTCATCACCTGGTGGTGAAGTAAAGCTTCTTACAAGTGACAGTGTGAGCTTGAAATGGCATGGAAAGACTGCAAAATGGATTACCTTGTCGGGAGATCCAGAGAAGACGAACAATCTATCCGAAGTATTAACAAATTTGTGTGAATTGTCGGCAGAGAAATTGGTCAACGATGCAGAGGTATGTCACGGCTTTTCTATCGACAGCGAACCGGAAAATTCGGTAAATTTTGTACCTGAGAACTCGGTATGCTCGGTATGCTCAGTGAATGAATCAACACAAGTAAGTGACAGTGAAACGAACGTCCTAGACAGTAGTGATCTTCTCCCAGTAAACATTTTAAAGTCAGTGAACATTAGATTTAGTCAAACTGAGTAAAAAATTAAGCATCTCGAGGATAATCTGCATAGTAGCCTAAATGGCATAATTAATGATATCAGTATGTTAAAAAGTCGGCTGTCCATAAACAATGCCGGTGACAATTATATGGCCGCTTTACAAGCTGAAAATGAGAAGCTTAAGAATGATAATGAATCCGTAGTCGAGAGGCTTAACAATGAACTATTCATCAATGCAGATCTTAATACACGAGTCAAAGATCTTGAGAAGGAAAAATCGTGTCTGGTGACGGCAATTAAGCTTGTTCAGTCGAGCGATAAGATTTCAGCTTTCAAAGATTGCAAAACAACAACGAAGCGTCAAATGCTGACGATACTGAGATGAATCTAACGAGTCAAAATACTGTTGGTCAGCATTCAAAACCTGAATCCATAATATTGTCGGGTGACGAAATCTCCCAGCATGTACGCTCTTTAAAACGCAAATACAAGTCTAAAAAAGTCGCAAACAGTTCTAAATCAAAAATTCAGTATGACTCTTCTAATGAAAAGTCGCATACAAATTCAACCAAGCATCAACGTAAAAACAAGCGGTCTACATATGACCAAAACGATAGCGTTATAATTGACGCAGATCTTGACGCAGATGTCACAGGTCTTAACTCTAAATCTGCAATTAATCGAGGGGAAAAGTTTCAGTTATAGCAAGAGACTCTATTATAAAGAACATACAAGGCTGGCGACTGTCAAATCCCCAAAATCACGTTGTTGTTAAGAGTTTTGCGGGAGCTAATTCAATGGACATGGAAGATTACCTACGTCCAATTCTTCGTAAAGAGCCCGATAAAATTATTTTGCACGTTGGGACAAATGATATAAGTCATCAATCGGCTCGTAGAGTAGCACAAGGAATTGCCAATCTTGGCACTCAGATTGTCCAAGAGTCGCCTGCAACTAGTTTAGTCATATCTAGTATCCTACCTAGAATTGACAAGTCTGAACTATCTAAGAAAGTGGTTGAAACCAATGAACTTATTAAGGCTTTTTGCAATGGAAACAACTGGGAATTTATGGACCGTGCAGCTATTGACTCCTCCTGTTTAAACATGAGAGGGTTACACGTCAATCGTAAGGGTACCACAACTATAGCTAGAAATACTGTAAAAGGTATTGACTTTTTGGAACTATAGTTACACTACACCTACACCTACACACACATTCTCGAAAATGGGATTACAGTACTGCTTAGAAATAAGTTGACAAAAACTGCGGTTAACCTCGGGTCGACGCGGTTTAACCGCCTGTCGACCGCGGTTTAACCTCGGGTCATCCTAGGTTCGATCTCGGCCCGACCTCGATTTGTCCTCGGGTGAACCGCGGTTCGCCCGCGGTTGAACTTCGGCTCGCCCGTGGTTACACCGCGGTTCAATTGCATGGGCGAAATGTGGCTTGATCGCAATTCACGGCGGAATCCGAAGGCAGCACGACTTTGCCGAGTGCAAATAGTGTATTTTAAAAATCAGAATCAACAAGAGTTTTGCGATTTTAAATGTTTTCAGAAGGTTGGAAAGCAATACAATGGGAAAGCTTTGTATTCTCGAAGACGTATTGTGTCTATCTTATTACTCAATCCTCAATTATATCGAGCTATATCATACATGCATTTATTGAATAATATATTGAAAAAACTCTTACCATTGAGTTTGATTATTGTAGCCTGCATGTCAGCCTGATATTCCTGTCCTTCGTAATCTATCATAACTGCAACCCCTTCTATCAGTGCATTGCGACCGATACTAGACACCTTAAGATTGACGTATTTTTCGAAAACGTCTAACCGCTAACTGCTAGAAACCACGTGACCAGGAGCTTGCCGTCACGTTTGCCGTAAATCGCTCACGTTTTAAACCTCAAGAGTGCATTCTACAGGTAAGTGATTTATCTCAGCATTTTATTCAACTGTTATTACTTCATTCCACGTATATGACATATATTAAGACAAATATACATCTTATCTTTGATTTGGATGGTTAAAAGTTGTTTTTAACGGGAAAGTTTTCATATTCTGAGTGCTTTTAACCGAACCATGTATTTAATTCGATATACAGACAACATGGCGCCCAATCGACTCTCTAATTTATTTGGGTTAAACAAACATGAAAATTTCGATTGTCAGTTCAATATTTTGTGGCCGATTTTGGTATGATAGATTTCTTAAATTGAGATTTGTTTATTTTAAGT